GTGTGTGTGTGTGTGTGTGTGTGTGTGTGTGTGTGTGTGTGTGTGTGTGTGTGTGACCTCATTAACATGGTGAACTTGAAGGCCTCGACTCGAGCGTTTCTCAGCCCATCTTCATCCATCCACAAACATCCAAATTCACCGAAAAGCCAAGCCTTGTCTGATCTGAGGTTCGTGCCTCTGAGAGGCTACAAAATCTGCAAATATGCAATTCTTATTTATTTTTTTAATCGATTTTGAAAAAAAAAAAATCACCTATGGAAAGTGTTCTTAACCACTGAAAGATGTAACAAGCAACCAAGAAGAAAACGAGCTAAAGTCCGTCACACAGTCTGCTGTTGGTTCTGGTTCCTGCTTTCTGTTCGGGTAATGTTAGAACCTTTTTGTGCCGTAGTCCAAACTGTGAAGAATCAAAGCATCTGTAACTCACCTGGACAGGTGTTCAAGGTAACAAACCAACAACCGCTCTTTAGTTGTCTGTCTGCGGCAGAATCTGACAATCTTCTAGTTTCTTTCAATCTGGCGTCTTTTTCTGAGCTGCCGCTCGACTCGAGCTCTGCCCGGAACCGTGTAGCTCAGCAGAAATGGACCGGAGCAGGTCCTGGTCTGAGACCGGAGCAGGTCCTGGTCTGAGACCGGAGCAGGTCCTGGTCTGAGACCGGAGCTAGTCCTGGTCTGAGACTTTGAACTGGAGCCGGTTCTGGTCTGAAGTCTTGTATCAGAGCTTGCTCTGGTTTGAAACACTCGACTTGAGCTGGTTCAGGTCTGAATCGTGCACCAGATCTGGACCTGGTCTCAGACGTTGTACCGGAGCTGGTTCTGGTCTGAAGCCTTGTATGAGACCCAGGCCTGTTCTGAGACGTTGAACCGGAGCAGGACCTGGTCTGAGACCCTGACCCTGACCCGGTTCAGCTCCTGAGGTCCGTAGCGAGAGTGCGAGTCTTCAGCACAGCTGGCTGGGAGAAGCACCTCAGGCGACTGTAAATGCCTTGCTCGTAGGTCAGCCCTCGGTCACTGGACTCAGTATTTGCACCGTCCTTCTGTAGGTCAACAAGCTGTAAATACCTTCATGTTTGTTTTGTAAATGGATCCTGGGTTGTTACGATAGCCTTACTCACTTTGTAGGAAAGTCCACAGAAAAACCAAGAAAAAAACCAGAAAATGAAACACTTGGTAAAAACAGAGCAAACTACTTTTTTTGGTAAATAGTTTATGTAAATACTGACCAGAACCCAATAAAACATTTTTTAAAAACTCTTAAAGTAAGATGTTTTGTATAAAATTTGAATTTTTTGCTATGTATTTTAGCTAGCTCTATGGAAAGCCCGTGTCCTCCCCACTTCCTCCCGTTTTGCACTGTTTTCATGGTCATTTGGTTTAAAAAAAGAGACGTTGCCAAACCGACTGCTGCATATTTGTGCCATAAGTGTGTACCATAAATATTTATTGAATTAGCCTTTTTGTTTCCTTCTTATTTCTGGTTCTGTTGAGGATTGGGTTTTTTCGGTAACAGTATTATATTTGCATCGTTTTTCTTTCGTCACGTCACGGTTCCTCCTCTCCTCCTGTTCCTCGCAGTGTGATGACATGGCCCGCCTGTGGAAGACAAACAAAAACACAAATCTGAGTTTTAAATGAATTTCAAAGAGGATAAATGACACACATTCCACCAGTCTGTTACAAACTGAAAATGTTTTTTCAATAAAATGTTTTTCCTATGGACACGCTGTCTGCTGTGCTTTTCTCCTGTCTCAGTAATCAAAGTTTTATTTAAGGTTTGATTCATTTATTAGATCATAAACAAACTTTAACCCAGTTTTAATGAGGAGAGTAAAAACTGTGACACAAACAGGACTTGTTTGGTCCACCTGAAACCGGACCTGCTGCACACAGAAAAGTGTTTAAGATGTATTTTCTACAGTTGTTGTTTTCAACAATGGTTTTAAAATCCCAGTTTGTTTAATGTAAATGTTACATAATGTAGGCGTACAGTGACAATAGACAAAACACAAATTGTTCTGTTATCCTTGTGTCTAAAAGTAACCCTGGTGAAAAAAAACTTTTCTATTG